GCCGTAGACCTCACCTTCCAAGTAACTAAACCAATTGATTACTATATCCTACTAGCTGTAGTAAAAAAAAAGAATTAGTGTTAGTGGCCTATGTGTTCTTTCAGACTATTTTCTATATCTGTCGAGATACCTTCAAACAAACATACATCCATCCATCCATCTAAACATTCATATTTAAAATATTAGTAAGATTAGTAATGGGTAGAAAAACTTACCTTGGCACTAAACATTTCACAGATATACAAAAACACTTTATTTTATAAACAAAGTACTTTTTAACTATTTGTAGTACCAGACGCTTGATACGGAAAAGTTATGTTGATACTCCCAAATAAAAGCTTAGTTACACACGTAGGCAAATATGACCTGATTTGTGGGCTTTTGTGTAGGCGATGACGTCATCTCCCTTGACCCCACAAGTGCTGGGCCCCGTGACGCAGTCGACGCTCGCTCAGCGCCGCATCAAGCCCCAGCGTCGCTTCCCGCCCACACAGATATAAGGTATACGAACTTACTACCATCTTGCCCCAAAAACCCTTTAAAATCAAATTATATGACTACATAAAGAAATGTAAAGAGAAATGTATAATTTTGTAGGAATTTATTTCGGAAAAATCTTTTCGAGTATTTGTATTATATTTAATCACAAAATAATATTATTTATGTAGAGGATTATGTGTAATTTTAGAGAACGTATTTATGCATTCATTTGTAATGCTGTTGAAGTTTTTATGTGTATTTTTTTTTCGTGTACACAAGCATTTTTTAGGCAACGGGTTACATAAATGAACATTCCATTTTTTTTTCAAGAATTGTTAAATGTCTTCATAAATTAGCCCATTGTTTACTAGGATAATTATACACTATGTAGAATATTCGAAAGTTGTCTTCCTGCTGAAGTTACAGATAAAAAAAAATATTTTTTGTATTACTAACCCACCTTATTTTTTTAGTCCTTTAGTGCCATTTACCAAAAAGATTCTTCGCGTTTCGGATACGAACTGCTTTTATTATTTTACAATCTGTTGTTTTTATACAAGATTCCTGTCACATTTATTTTATTAAATGATTTTTTTAAATAGACAGTATTTTTTAAAAATTTTTTTAGAATTCATCATCATAGAGATGTAATTTGAGAGATTTCTTAGATTAAGTATAATATTGTGGTTATTTGTAAATCAATATCTACATTTAAATTAGATATTTAAATCCTACATATTTCTGCTTCAAATAAGCCTTATTTAATTCAAAAAGGCCTACGTTTACCGTATCTTACAAAACTATCAACTTCCTATTTCAAATCATATAACATAGAATATAAGTCTAACATTGTCTATTTTGTTATTCGCTTTAAAGTTTAGAATTAAGTGAAATAATATGAACGTGTATTTCTGACTTAGTGGTGACATATCCAATATTTAAAAAAAATATTATTAATCATTGGTTTCTGAGAATCCTTGTTTAAAACGTATCGTTATCCCCCTCATTATCTTTAACAGAACAGAGATAACGATATGTTTTATATTGGTCTCAGAACCCAACGATAAAAAACAAGTCCAATATAAATAAATGAAAGCTGTACTACATTAATTATGTGAGTCAACGTAACTTCGTGTTTCGATTTTGTATTGCATTTATAATTACTAAAACCGTCCTTTCTACTCTTCTGAAAGTTATATGCTATTCTTAATGTCATTTATATTTCGCATATTATAAATATGTGTTGATATACTATCTTCTTATGTAAATCGACTGATTGACTTACTTTCTCCTATTTTATCTAGAGAATATCTTATTAAGGAGGGAGTATAATAAGAAAAAGTAGCAGGAATTACATGCGGTCACAATAACATGAAATGTGCATAGAATGTGGTACACCGCTTGCTATAAACACGATGTGACGTCATTGCTGTCACATATGTTATTGTACACGAATTGTACAGCATACTGATTGCACAATATTATCTTGTGAATGTAGTGAAGACCCTTTTTCCCTCCCCTTCTCACTTATTTAGCTTCTCCTCTGTCCATAAACATGATGAAATATATCCAAAATTCTATGTTATTGTTAGACTTTTTAGAAAACACCTACTATTTTCTTAAACCTCTGAAAAAGTTGATAGTAGATTGTAGTATAATTTTAGATTTTATCTAGGTTTTGCCACCACTAAGTACAGTTTTTACTACATGTTGGACCTTCGCATAAGAACAGTATTTTCATACTATTAAGATAAGTATAATATACATAGTAATATGTAAAATTACTTTTTGATTTGTTTAAACTTCATCTTTTTATCTTGATAAATATTTCCGATACTAATATTTAATCTATATTATTTTACCAAAGAACATGTTGTTAAAACAATAATGTTGTATTGATTTTAAGCCATAGGTTTTTAAAATATTGAAAAATTCTTACAGGCAATAAATATCTGACCATTATAGAACAATGTTAAGATATAAAATGACCATATTGGCCTTGATACTTACTGTATTATAAAAATATAAAACATCTTCAAACAACATACAATGTTTCGTACCTGATTCTGTACTTTTGCATACTTCTGTATATTTATAACGGCCACGTGTTCCAACAAGAGCATAATAATCAGCATATTATAACTATTAAAGCAAAGGAATTGATATTTTACTATTGTAATTATAATGTTAATGTAATTCTTCGATTGTGCGACGTAGGAAATAAATGAAAATTTTAGACGTAAAGTGAACTCACTTCTAGATATAAATAACAAACATATCTGGCTGAAAGGCAAGTGACCTGTCATTAAAATTATTATATAGTCATATCATTCTAATGATATTTAAATGTTACTACCGTTCTACTTTTAACTAGATGCGATATTTTACGAGAATTTTATTTTACAATTTTTACTCCATGAAATTAAACCATGAGATTACATGTTTATATTTTACATGAACCAGTGATTGATCTGCATAATAAAATCATTAACAATTAAAGGTATAAATCCATAGATGGCTCTACAACAATTTTTATCTCTAATTATTCCCGGATGACTATTACCATTTTTAATTACTACAATTTAATATTTTAATCAAGAAACCATAATTTCCACTGCAAATGTTGTCTAAGTTTTTCAAGATTGGGGCCTCGACTACAAGTACAAAGTATAAACTGTAGACAAATTAAGACTTAAATACTTATGTTATAAAATATATGTTATAAAAAAAAACATCATTTGAAAATTTTGGTCAGTGTAAAAAGTAAATTGCCCCTTTTTTATGGCCTTGGTTTGAAACAGTATACAGTTTAGAGTTAATTTTAAAAGTCTATCTGTGTATTTACATCTTTGATTTGTACCATTATTTGATAAGTACATGTATGTACATGCATATATAATTTTATGTGCCTCTGAATGTTCATAATACATATAGGAATATGAATAGTTATTGATTTATGCCCACAAAATGCACTCAAAAAAATTATTAAAAATTAAATTAGAGACGTATATGGTGATAATTAAAAGAATTAGAAAGAAATTAGCGTGCAATAAATTAATAATTGTGATTACTCGTTCTATATTAACTGAATAGAGCTTGCTTGCACACTTGTTAATTAATTATAATAAAGATATTTTCTTACTCACTCTCAGTACACAGTTGATGTTACCGTAGATTTTTCTATGACACTAATGTTATGAATAATATCTGGTTATGATAATTGTAACCTACACAGGCTGGACCAGAAAGATTGTACTATGAAAGAAGTGTATGTGGTGTTAATGTTAATACATTATGGATCACATCTGTCTATTTTTCTATCTTTGAAATAGATAACAAATTATGTTACATTAAATTGTTATTGTAGAGACACATATTTGATTACAGAAATAATATATATGTATTGTTGAAATTGCTTTAAAATTGTTGTCTTATTTTATAATCCTCATTCTATCTATCGAAATCATGGCTGTTTGTGGTTCATCAGCTTTTATACATATTTAATTACTAGCTGTGGCCCGCGACTCTGTCCACGGGAAATTAAAATAAAACTAGTCTATGTATTCTATATTCCCGACTTAATTCTACAACTTTGCCAAAATTCATCAATATCCATTTAACCATCCATCCATCTAAACTTTCGTATTTATATTAGTAAGAATTTCTTAATAATAAAAAATAACAATTACTTAGTATTGAGTCTATTGAACCAGTACTTGATTTAAAAATCTTTTTTCAATTAAAGTTCTGTTTGGGGTACTAATTACAATAAAAATAATTGTTAATTGTCTTTAAAAAAATTTATTCAGCAACATCCTTACTTAACATTAACCTGTTTTAATGTAGGTGCTACAACTGCCCCTTTTCCTACAACTATCAATGGTTTATCCTTGTAGCATGCTACTTTATCATCATTTGTCTTCAAGTCAGGAGCACATGTCTCGAATATTTTTTTCTTGGGGTTGAGTTGTGCTTCCGGTTCCCTAGGATATCCCTCACACTCTACCAGGTCACCGGGAACAGCATCAGATGGCGGATTCAGAACTTCAACCTTTTCAGGTGATGATGCACACATCACCATGGCTTCTGATGTAACTCCTCGCATCTGAAAATAAAAACAGTATTAAGGTAACTTTAAGATTTATACAGAATTGTAAAGACAGTATAGAATTCAGATGTTGGTTTAGGAATAAAAGGTATTAAGAAATGAAAATAGCTACAAGAACCTGAACCCAAATCAACAATATCCTAATACTGAAGAAAGTGTTTGAAACTAAACAAAAGGCTAAGTAAAGTAATTCACAATGCTTATATATTCACCTTCACTGGTTTCAAATTACAAAGGACAATTACTAGTTTATCTCTCATTTCATCAATAGGGACGTGATTAACTAGCCCTGAAACAACAGTGCGAGGTCTTCCTTCACCACAATCTATCTTTTCAACATACAGTGCATCTGCATCTGGATGTTTGTTTATTTCCACAATCTTGCCAATCCTAAAGTCTAATTTTCTTACATCTACTACATTATCAGTAGTTGGGGTAGGATTCACTTTCTCCTTAATCTTTTTAACTGAATTCTTTTCTTTCTTTGCCGCTGTTGGCTGTGTATTCTCAACTTCAGTGCTCTTATCTTGTGGTTTTTCTACACTAATTGAATCTACATTGCTTTTAGTAACTTGTTTGCTTGGCACAGAATATTGCTTTTTACCGTGTGATATTTCAAGTTTAATAAGTTCATTCTTAGCTTGAACAATTTTTTCTGATAAAACAGAGTTCTCTTTAATCAACTCCTGTATTTTCTCTTCGACTTTAAACTTCTTTATTTCTTCCACCTGTAAGTAAATTATTAGGTTAGTTGTACAATACGTATTTGTATAATTTAATGTCATAAAAATTAAATACAAACCTTTCTCCTAAGCTCTGCTAAACGTTTTTCCGCTGTTTCAGCATTTGCCAAAATATTTGAAGAAATTTTAACCAACATGTTTTTCAGCGAGTTACGGCCTGCACAAATCATTAGCTATATCCCTGTGTAAATATTTGTTTTTTCGATATTTTGGATAATCTTATTTTGTAATTTTAGGTTAGAAAAAGTACTGCCAGTGACGTAAAAGTTAAAAGTGGATATGTCACTTACCCACTTTAAAGAAGCAGAAAAATTGACTTTAATTAATTTGCATCGTGACAAATTAATAAAAACACATAAATACAAAAAATATTAGTAATGTCATGTTTTAGTATGTTTTTCAAATATTTATTTAAGACTCAAAGCATTTATTCAATAACTGGATTGTTATTCTATAAAACTTGAAATATTATCACATTATTATTTTATATATACTCTTTGTATTATCAGCTCAGGTAACACTTTGTTGCCATAGAATAGAAAAAAAAAACAAAAAGTAATATGGCCGTTGGAATGGCGTCATAAATAGTTTCTGACGTTGTTTATATTTGCCTAAGAGGATACTTGATTTATAATTTATACGGTAGCTTAATCGTATATTGTGTTGAGTACAATGTAATTGCATTAAATTGTGAACAAAAGGATCTATTGATATAATGTTTTAGAGTTCCCAAAAACAACAATGTCAAACAACACTGTCGGCTCTTCGGGGCATGCTCCCGGCAAAATACGTGGGCCTGGAAGACCACCTAAACGTACATGTACGTGGTGTGCTGAAAGTAAAACGCCTTTAAAATATGTATTGCCTACTGAGAATGGTAAAAAAGAGTTTTGTTCTGAGACCTGTCTTTCCGAATTTAGACAGGCTTATAGCAAAGGTGCCTGTCTTCACTGCGACAATGTCATTCGAGGTAATGCGCCATCGAGTAGTAAGAACTTTTGTTCTACATATTGTCTGAACAAATATCAGAAGAAAAATGAAAAACGAACAAGTTCTCCACAGTCTGGTAATGGGGCAAATGGATCTGAAAATCCCTCCAACAACAACACAACGGGATCTTTTTACGATATATTTCAGTCTTTCGACTGGACTGAATACATGAAGGAGACAAACAGCACAGCAGCACCTCAGGAATGTTTTAAACAAGCACCGGTTCCACCACTGAATGATTTCAAAGTGAACATGAAATTGGAAGCCTTAGATCCACGAAATTTGACTTCTACTTGTATCGCAACAGTGGTAGGCGTTTTAGGACCGCGGCTCAGATTGAGATTGGATGGAAGTGATAATAAGAATGATTTTTGGAGACTTGTTGATGCGGGTGATATTCACCCAATAGGGCATTGTGAGAAGAATGATGGAATGCTTCAACCTCCACTTGGATTTCGTATGAATGCTAGCAGTTGGCCAATGTTTTTGCTCAAAACTTTAAATGGTGCAGAGATGGCTCCACCGAAAGTATTTCAGGCTGAGCCTCCAACACCTAAATCAAATCTGTTTGTTGTTGGACAAAAACTGGAAGCAGTTGATAAGAAGAATCCACAACTAATTTGCTGTGCTACTGTTGGAGCTGTGAAGAATGATCAGATTCATGTAACATTTGATGGATGGCGTGGTGCTTTTGATTACTGGTGTAGATATGATTCAAGGGATATATTTCCTGTTGGTTGGTGTGCTCGAGCTGGTCATCCTCTGCAGCCACCGGGACAAAAAAGTGCTACTACTCCATCAAGGTATGTATGTGCCAATAATATAAGTGGATATTTTACTACAAAATTGATGATTATGTGTTATGATATTATATTTTACTAATTGTAAGCATTTACTGTATTACTAAAAGAAATAAAGTTACACACTATTTAGTTAAGTCTTAATTTGACTAAATTTTTTGTAGCAAAAAAACTGTTATTGTAATAAAGTCATGTAATTAGTTGTTCGTCACACTGGACACCATTGAATTAAAGTTTAAACACACATTTTAACCCATTGTCCACTGGTAATAAAAATATGAAATTGCATTAAATTACATAAGCTGATTCTTTTTTGACAGTGTGTAGGTACTTAATAAATTTTGTTATATAATTCTATAATGTTAGCAATTTATAGAGTGGACATTATTTTGAGTAGGAGCTACAAGATTGAAAAACATAAGCTAAATTTAGTTAGAAAAGTATAAAAATTCAGTTAGAACTAACTTTATTTTCAATTGTATTTAATATATAATTTATCAACTAAAAACAGAAGCATGCAATTGTCTTTTTATGGATAAAATATGTTAATTTCAAAATTTTAGCTCTTGTACATACATAGCATATTGTATTTTTTACTAAATTTATATTGGAAATATGATATGGTACTCATCTTTCTGTTATGTTTATATAAACATACAATATGAGAATATGGTATTCCCTATATTTCAAAATGAAATCAAATCACTCTGCCATTTTTATTTAAATGAATATCAACAATTTTTTTTTCAAAACTATATTGTGGAACAATTGCATAATTTAGTTGCATATTCCAGGTTTAAACTGCGGCCTATAGGTATGGCCAATCCAGCTTTACCAGAAGGTGGTTCCACTGGTGGTACAAATTCCACTAATCCAAGCCCACCAACACCTTTAGCTCCTGTGCATTTACATATCCGCAATAGTTGTTCCGGTGGCAGTACAGTTCTGCCGAACACGGTCACCGGTTTAGGACCATCTGGCGTTGCAGAGGCTCTCGCTAAAGAACTGCTAGGCGTTCACCCAGACCCCCAGAGGCTAACAAGGGCAATGTTGACCGCATCTAGTGGTTATTCCAATGTGACTACAGTACAGGTAAATATTTTCTGTCCTGCATACATTTTGATTACTTCTAATCTTTGACTTTGAAGACAGACAATAAAGGGTTCTTTTTTTCATAATATAAGTTGAAATGAAATACAGCATAATTAAAAAAAAAACAATGAAAAAATGTCTTAAATTTTTTTGGAGAATTTATGTTTTTAATTTTCTGGAGTGGTAAATGTATGGTCAAAAAGATAAATTGTTAATATTTACTCATAAATAGATTAATTTCATTAATCAGTACTTTTGGTTTAAAACGGTTGATATTTATTTTAATAATAAATTTAATTTCAAGGTTTCCACTGGAAGCAAGACTCATACAGTTAAAGTGCCATCAGATCTTACAAATGATGAGCTCAAGAACTGGCTGAAACTGTTCTGTGTTGGGATGAGCTGGTGCGTTGGCATGATTGAAGTGGACACAGGAGAGGCTGCTGTGCGGCCCTGCACACTGTGCGGCGAGTCAACTTCTAATGGGGTATCATCTGCTGTTAAAAGACCTGTTAATGTAAGAGACTGTACATCTAAGTACAACAAAGCTATCAATTTAACAATTCCCTTGCTATTTTTTGTACGAAAATTAACTTACCACTTTTAAGAGTTTTAAATTAGAGTGTGTTAAGTGGTAGGAATGTAATGAGTAAATGAATTACATTTGTAATTCTGTTCAAATTAATCATTTTTAGTCGTTCATGTTAGTAACTCAAATATGTGTATGTTTAAATAGTTTTTTTTTATCATGCAGGACTTGCCTGTAGAAAGTGGTGTTAATGGATTGGGCGAGACCTCCACTGTGAAGATGGCTCGCGTGTCCCCTGAGCGGCCGGAGCCAGCTTCATCGACCACGGGCGCTCCGCCGCCGCCCTCGCCCGCCACACCCCCTGGCGACTGGTCCGTCGAAGATGTCATCGGGTTCATTGCCGCAGCTGACCAAGCCTTAGCTGCCCATGCTGATCTCTTCCGTAAACATGTAAGTAAACATAAAATCTTATATCACTAATGAATATGGCTTTTTGAAATCAAGTAATCATTTACATGTTTCTTTGCAGGAAATTGATGGGAAAGCACTTCTGTTGTTGAATTCTGATATGATGATGAGATATATGGGCCTTAAATTGGGACCCGCTCTAAAGATATGTAATTTGGTGTCCAAGATTAAAAATCGCCGCAATTTTAATCCCTAACTAGACCCAACTCTTACTGAATCTTGGAACCGTCAGTTACTATTTATGCTATCCAAGAATACATCTCATTTACTATCACATCGCCGTATTAAAATTAAAGTGGTTAAATAAAGCATATTCAATGTAATGAATGTATGAATGATGGAATATAAGCATAATGACGGACATTCAGTAGGAATTATATATGTATTTTTATTTATATTGAAAATAATTTGATAATGACGCAAATTATGATACACAGCATTGAGCAATTTATACGCCAATATCGTATTTTATGTAAGATGTATATTACTTTGTAGTCACATGTATATAGGCGTTACGAATGAGTGGAAATGCATTTAATGTAGTCAGTACTCATTTTACATAATAGACTATAAAAATAAATTGTTAATTACGCCGGCTTTATTGTTAGGTATTTGGATTGTATATACATATTTTATTATTATCGGCTAGTCGTATTTTTTCAAGATGTCGCCTAAACACCATTCCATAAATGGTTTAAAATATTCATTCACATAGTTGCGTTTATATTGCATGGATTATATACTTTATTTTATGTGTCCAATATAATTTGCCAAACAAGTTCCAATATTTGCCAGTTCTTTTTTCTATAGCAATTGTATTATGTTCTCTAAACATATTATTTGCCTAACATCTGACGTCATTAGACCCATGTGTTATTGGACACGTGTAGTATAATGGGATTCAAATAAGAATGTGTATGAAGCAACGCTATAGCTGTGCAATCAGATAAATAAGATCAGTAAAACAGATATATTTATAATATTTTTTTTTTATTCAGAATATCCCAGATAAAAAAGTTTACGAAAATATTTTTCGTGCGGTTTTTGAGATCTCAAAGTCTTATACGCATATTATTTTAAACGCATTATAAATATTAAGTTTTTATTCATTATCAATTCAATAAATTTTTTATTTTATTACTTTGTCAACTTTCTTAGACATTGTTATACTTATGGTTATTCTTTTTTATGACAAACTTCATATTTACCTATTAATCTATATAATTCAATATTTATTTATCGTTAAATGATCAGAATACTTCACATGTAAATTAAATGTCACGTTTTACCTCTAAACAGCTTTGTTCTAAACGTGACTTTTTTCTTTACGGAAATTACTTTTTAATGATTCTTATCTAAATTAAACTGAGTTTGAATTGTATAAGCGTAGTAGTCAAAGTATAAAAGGAAATACTATAGAAATAATATAGTTACAAAATTGCCGGAAAATCTTTCCAAAACCTGGTCCATAACTATTTCATTACCCTACTAAGTAAACTTTGCTTTTAAGTAGTTGCTATTTAGGCTACTCGCGTTTTTAAAACAGTGTAAGGGTTTGTGGAGGTTCCTCTTATCAATCTACAATATTTTTTCTAATAGTAGTACTATTATATTTCCGCAGGCATAATTGCCTGTCTTAAGTATATGTTAGTAGATCGTGACTGTGTGAGTGAATGTTTTATTCGACCAACAAATTAATTTCCTGTGTACAAATGTAGATTAGGGTCTTAGTGCCTTCCAATATATAGGTGTACTTAAACAGAAGTCATTTTAGCAATTCAGTTTTTATATTACGAAGTAACATTTTTTACTATACTGCAGTTTTTTTTATATATTTATGCTTTTAATTACAATTAATAAGTATTATACAGCATGTTACAATACTAGTTTTTTATATAATAATATAACATGATAACAGATTATTAAGAGCGTGTGTGAAATGTGATCATTATAATTGAGTATTAGAATTTAGCTTGAACTATCGATGTTGTCTAAAATTTATAGTATTTAAAAATAAATATTTGGATGCATGTTTGAAAGTACCAAACAACTTTAGATCACATCTCCACTAACATCAATTGTAATCACAACAAAAAAAAATTACAAATGTTGAAAAAGAAAAAAAAAATTACAATTGTTTTGTAATGACAATTGTACGTAGTTAAAATCGATATTATCGTTATTAAAATGTATCGTGATTAATTGAAAAAATATTTAATTATGAAAAAGCCTAACGCTGAAATGGCTTCAAATAAACCGGGCTTGCTCAATATGCTATCCAGGTATACCTCATCTCCTATCCACCCATACGATGTAAAGAGTTACATCTCATGAGACATAACTCTCGTCTTTCAATATTTGTTTGGTGCAATGAATGATGGCGAATGTTTTTACTTATCTTTCACAAAAATGTAGTTGCGTAGTTTGTAAGAAATTGTATTATAGGTTTTATAATTATTATTTCAACTTAGCCGAGGTATGTACATAATTATTTTAAATTCGCGCCATTGGCAAATGCTACGCGCATTTTATCTTTTATGAGCTTTTGTTTTAATTATTAATGTTCCTCGATTGATTTTTTTTTGTGTGAATATCTCTGTCAATAAAGATTTAATTTAGGGTAACTTTTTATTATTATTTTAATTTAATTGGCACTTTAAGGGTTTTGTTGTAATGTTAAAACATTTCATAATGTGATATTTCAATGTTATCTGTTGTAGTATAAAAGCGTTGATTTAAATAAATTAGGTGTTATTCTAAGTTTTCATGACATAAAAATTATTAAATACACATTATGCGAGCATGCTTTTTTAATTTAATTGTACCTACTTTCAGATAGGTAAGATTTAAGATTTTATAGCTTAGTTTATATATTAGGATAATGAATGGAATACCTACATTATCGCTACTCCTTTTGTGTAAGAATTGCAAACTTTTAGATCAGTTTAAAAAATATGCCTATTATATATATACTTGTCTGTGTATATTACATAAATTTCTTTATAGAGATGTGGATAATTTCACATCAAAAATATTATATTATTTTAATATCTTTATGTACATAGGAAATAATATTTCAAAACGGATGTGTAAAAATTAAATAAAGTAAAAAGTTTCCCAAATTTGTTTTGATTTTTGTTATATTTATTCAAATATTTTTTTTTCTGTTCTTTTCCTCTTTACTACTAGATACACGTTATAAGCCGAGTATTCGAATCGGTTTAGAATATTTATAAGTAATAAGAGTACACATGTTATGTATACAACTTACGTTGTTGCAGATTACTTGTATTTTGTAACAAACAAGTATTGAGGTGTTCAAATATTGGCGGCTCGGAAAATTGTACGAGTCTCCCCGCAGAATACAATTTTAGGTGTAGCGGGGCGTAAAGGGATGCGCGGAGGACATTGCGCAGGTGACCTTGAGAAATTTGAAGCCAGCGAATAAATTGAAACGGACCATACAAACATAATATAGAAAGCTGCCCTTATGACACAAAGCCGTCGCCCGCGACCTCGTCCGCGCAGAAATGAACAAAATAATACTCTGTGTTCTACCTAACTATGTTCAACATCTATGCCAAATTACAACGGGATCAGTTTAGTTGTTCTGGAGGTACCTAATAACAAACACCATCATCATCAAACAACATCCATAATATTTGTAAGAACATATTATCGCAATAACAGCGCACTACGCGCAGTGTTTATCGAATAAATCCATAAATTGCATTTCTTATTAATCTCACTATTAAATCAAATATGCGGATATGTTTTACAGTATTGGAGCTACGCAATAACAACAGTTATTACATGAATGGAGCTGCTCGATCGGGGGTGTCACGAGTTAATGATGACATTTTCACATTTGACTAGTCTCTGGAGGTACCTTTACTTAGGAATTAATCCTCTACATGCGTTGCGCGATATACTTTGGGTCGAGGAGTCTTTTCATAAAGTACCAATGATGTGACAAGGAACTCGACCGATCAGTGACGTTCAATTTTTGGCGTTTGCCCGACTAGTTGCTTGCGAAAAAAATTTATATGCCAAGGAAGTTAAGCCTTGAAAGGGGTTCTTAAACTGCTCTACACAGGATTGTTCGTCTTTGTTGTTTTGAACGCACTTATACTTGTGCCCTTTGCGTAAAGTTTATCAGTAGTCTGTATTTTATTTGTTTTCCTTTATCGATATCGACGAGTACTTTTCCAAAGAAAGTATTTAATTGTATACAGCAGCATACATCTACAATTTAAAACAGTTGTATTTTTTGAGAACTTTTCAAATTATATAGGTATATGTATTCATTCTGTACCTCAGATGTATTTATCTGTACTTGTATGCAGTTTAACTTGTACTTACAATTTTAAACCGTTATCTAAAGGCAAAATATGACGCCTTAGGCCGAAGTGACAAGCGCAGGAGTCGACGCACAGAATGCTGGTTGCCAGTCACCGTTTGTCGTTTGCCGTTACCAGCCGCACACTAAATGTAGTCTATTATTAATGTCGTCGTTAAAGTTTGCGTGATCTCTTGACAAGTGTGATAAAGTTCTAATAACATGGAGTTGCAGGAACGTAAAACCGACAACGGTAAGATAAATGAGACTAAGTGAAAGTTACAATGCAATGGCCTCCAATTTGCAATATGGTTTAAAATTGACAATGAAACTGCCGATTTCTTTAAGAGCAAAATTTTTAGGTTGATTAACTTCATTATTAATACATTTCATTCATTCATAAGCGTTAATAATTGCACTTTTCATGGTCATTAACCTATAGAGTTTTTAAGCTAAAACATTCCTTAACCGTATTGAGATAGATTCCAAAACAAATTAGCTTTATTGTTCATTGTTAAATTTACTTTTCTTCTCGGATGTACTCCAATGCTTCTCTATTATACCTTTTAAATTACGATGAGCAATAAATGGAATTTTTATAGTTCACAAATAAACAAGTGAATACAAAGTATTTGATTTGCAAAATAATACAAATAAAACCACAAAGTACCAATGGCCACAACATACACTAGAAATTACACCATATTAAAAAGAAAAGTGAACCAAACATTTCCATTTATCTCTTTATTTTATGGATATTATTTAACTTTTGTATAAATGTGTTCTAAATATATATGACAATGACATTTGGCTCTTGCATACAAGTATTTACCTCACAGGTATTTACCGCTTTAATGCGTTTTGAAGGTTTAAAGATTTTGGATTACACTCTGGGACATACCTAAACCAGTTTATTTTCTTAATATCCTTATTTTAAAAGTGTAGCAACAGAGTAAAGTGTTACGTTTAAACACAAGCGGCAGTAGTGACATCTTACATTTTGTGGTGTCAAGGTTTGAATCCCGGGCAGTTTTTGTCGTTTTATTTTACTTATTGTGGTAATGATTTCCAAATACGATGACCGAGTATCACGACAGTGGTACGCAATTTTACCTATACGACCTAAAAGCTGGTTGATATATGGATCTTAAAGCTATAACACCCGTTTAATTTTAAAAACAATTTTTTAATATTCTTTTTAACCGATTGTTTTATGTGGATGATTTTATTCGCGCGCATTTAAATTTTTCATAAGTGGGTTTGTATGTAAGTTAAGCCTTTACAACTGTCCCGAATTTGACGAGTGAGGTGTCCTATTGCCTGAATGCTATTGGTCGGGTTTCTAGTTTTTTAATTAACAAGTGTTGTCATTTATAAACTCTAAAATATCGTCACACGGAATATTTCAATGAATTGTTCTTGTTAAACAGGCAACTGGATGATAAGTCACAACGGAAATGTTTCATAACACAATTACCTTCGTTTTACTGCGACCACATTCAATCTAACTACTTTAATAAAGTACGTAATTTGTGGTATTATTGTTGGTCAGTTTTCCTATTGTTTGAATTTCTTTAATATTGCGAAGGCCTCAAGGAAAAATTACTTCCCTATGTCCTAACATTGTTCTAATAATTTTCTTTTCTTATTACTTACTTTACTTTGCAAGTTATTCTTGAGTCTCGTTTAAGTATAGTAAAATCTAATATAGCTTCACTTAATTAATTATTACGTCAAAAACCGACCGACTTTAATAGTGCATAACTGTAGTTTTAAATATTTTTTTGTGTTTCGTACCTTGAAAGTGAAAAAACGGAATCCTTATAGGATCACTTTGTTGTCTGTCTGTCTGCTAAGACTCTTTTTATCAAATACGCGTGAAGGTATTAAGCTGGAATTTATTTATATTATTGAAGATGCGACTGTTTTCAACTAGTATATTATTTCCGCATTGTATTGTATTGGATAATACGACTTTACAAAATACAAACATACAATCTTTATGCCATTAGTGCATGTTGTGATGGTCATAACTTGGTGATAAAACATCAACAGGAATAATAGAAACTCATTTGAAATATGCTTTCAGTTAGTTTAAGTTAGGAAAAGTGTAACAATTAACGAAATATTCAATAATAAAAGCATACATTTTGGGAAGCCTATATTATGCTTTATCTACTTATAGATGCGAAATTAGTTAGGATGATTATATAATTATAATTGCACTAATAATACTATTCCAGTGGAAGTTTTTGGTATTTTCTATAATTGTAATCAAGAAAATTCTGCCTGATTTGTGTGTATATTGTTATTGTAAGTAGAAATATATTACGTTATCTAATTAGCTAACTGTTTCTTGCAAAACAAAATGTACTATGTAACTAATATATGTGATACATATTTTATAATGAGAAATCAGAAATTGTCTAAAAAACATTTATAGATTCATAATTCAATTGAACCTTTCGTAAAGCGTAACTTTAAAGTCAAATTTTATATGAAAATAATTAAATCAAAACTTTTAATTAGCATATCTTTCGGTGATTTATCTTTGAAAAGTATTATGCCATAAAAGTTTTAAAGAAATGTAGATTAATATAAAGTTATTTGTTTTTACATGTATAATAACACGGCAATAAAGAGATCAAGGTCGAAGCTACCGCGTCTCTTTCCGCAGTTAATGTAGAGAGTATTTATGTTTTATCAAGAGCTAATCTTGAAATGACATTATCAAATGCTTATCTAATAATTTTAGGCACTTTATTTTATCATTTATCTCTGAGTAAATCCCAAAGATACTATGATGTTTCACACTACGTAGTAGCATGTGTAACTGTAGGTTTCACTAGCGAAAAAAATGTACAAAATGATTTTGTCAACATACACAAGGAGATAATGATATGAACATTTGTTTTTGTACAAATGTTTTAGCAGTGGAAACCAATATTTGTAACAACATTATCATTGCACTAAATACGTTAGGACCATCTAAAACGATGTATATCTTGGATCTCATGACATGGCAGTTTGTTGGAAGAACTGACTAATACCGTGACGTGCCACGTCCAATACTATTTAGTACCATAAAAAGAAATTCTGTTTAATACGAGATAATATCTCACATATTATATGTCAGTATTATATTCAAGAACAATGTTAATTTTTAAATATTTTCCTTTCAGGTGACCTCAAGCAAGATGTTTCACAAGACACATTTCAAAAGATAATAGGATCGTTCGGAAGATATCAATTTTGGCTTTGTTTATTAATATTTTTATGTAAATTCTTCGTTGCTTTTAATCAAATGGCAGTTATATTTTATGCGCCAAAAGTACAGTACACATGTGAAGATACAAAAGCAGAAACATGTCCGTGTTCTCAGCCTGTTTATAATACTTCGATATTTACGAACACTATTACTATGGAATGGAATTTGATATGTGATAAAAAATGGTTGGCAAATTTGACGCAAACATTGTTTCAAGTTGGCGTTTTATTCGGTAGCGTACTGTTTGGAATGGCTTCAGACAGGTACATATTTATAAAATACATAATATTTTTACACACTTATCCATTACATTACACACTTACACTATTTAACAAGCTAGAATCGAAATCGGTTAAAACGACATATCTGTTAAGTGAACTCTACGGTTACGGGGGAACCAATGACACACGACATTATATTTTGGGCACATCACTGATGACAAAACTAATTATACTATAGGAAAAAAAGTGTAAATTAAGTATAATATGAAGAGCGAACACGAGTCATTTCTTAGCTACGAAATGTTTACAATAATCACAAAATCGGAATTATTTGATGGCGCGTCTATGGCCTCATTAAATATTTGTTTAAAAATTGCTAGAGGATACGTCTACGTTTGCCACCCCTGCAATAGATCCTGGATAAATGAAACTTACCTAACTGCCTGACAACTAAAGACAATTATTATTATTAAATATTACAGTTACAATAATTTTATTTATATAATTTCCAGGTTTGGTAGGAAGAAACCTTTACTTGTGGCCGTCGTTCTACAATTGGTAACAAGTACGTTATCGGCTTACGCACCAAATTACTGGACATTTACCTTATCCCGTGTTCTGATTGGTGTATCTGTCGGTGGAGTTATGGTTACTACCTTCGTTTTGCTCATGGAATTCATCGGAAATAAATATAGACATATAATATCTGCGCTGTATCAAGTGCCATTTAACTTAGGTCACATGTTATTGCCGTTTTGTGCATATTTTGTAAGAGACTATACGGACTTCTTACTTGTCACCTCTATACCCAGCGCTATTCTTCTGTGCTACTTCTGTCTTATACCAGAATCTGCAAGATGGTTGATTGCTGTAAAGAAAACAGATGAGGCCATAGTTATTTTGGAAAGGGTGGCAAAAATGTAAGTATGTTTAAATTAAGAAATGTAATCATACAATATTCAGTTTTGGACAATGATGTCTTAAATTATTTTTTGGATATATTTGTACATTTAAATGTATACGTGTTTGAACAAATACGAATAGGATTATGATACTACAGACAATTTGATGATTATTGTCACTAAAACTACCCCGATGTTCCCGCTCTAAAAGAGTAGCGGGAACACCGGGGGGTGATTATCGGCGCCTAAGGACATCCGCAAACCAGCAGTATAGCATTACATATTGGGCTGCAGGAATTGTTCAGCATAAATTTTTCTTCATTTATTTTTTTATTTCAGAAACAATCGTCAAACTAACGTACGATCTGAGGTGGAAGCTTACGAGAGAACACTAACGGGAAGCAATCAAAAAGGAAACATATCTGATTTATTCCGAACACCGAATCTTCGAAAAAATATAATTTGTATGTCGTTTAATTGGATGACTTGCAGTTATTGTTTTTACGGAGTATCCCAGTATGTTGGACATTTGAGCGGGAATGTGTTTATTAATGTAGCAGCCAGCGCCAGCGTATCTCTTCTCGGTAGTTTTGTATCTATACCATTGATGAAGATAGCTGGAAGGAAGACTGTAGTGATTGTATTTAACTTTATTTGCGCTCTCTGTTTAATTATACTAATATTTGTACCCTCTGGTGTGTTCTCTGTGGTGTTAGCGTGTACTGGAGTAGTGTCTAGTTTTATTGTTTTCGTTGTTGTATATTTATATTGTACAGAACTATTTCCTACTGTTGTGAGAAACGCGGCGATTGGATTTTCATCTATGATGGCACGAGTTGGTTCTATGTTGGCTCCGTTTGTTATTGACGGAGGAGATATCGCGTACTGGGTACCACCTCTTGGATTCGCCATTCTACCAGTATTGGCTTGCTGGGTGACTTTTTATTTACCTGAAACAAAAGACTGCGACTTAATGACTACTATCGAGGAAGGTGAAGTTTTCGGTAAAAAGACAAAAGACGTGGAAACAAAATAATCCACTGATACTGTTTTTTATTTTAAATTATGGAAGATAAAAGTGGGTAAACAATATCAAAATATTGTTTATTTCATTAAAATGCATGTTACATAGACTTCGAGAGCAAAGAATTGTGATGTGTTCCAAAAAGTATTGTAATCTGTGAAGTTTAAGCGAAAATATAGTCGAGAAAATAATTTAGAGTTTCTTTCATTTTATTAAGGTACCAAATCGTACATGTTATGTTAAAAGTAGAAAAATTCCTTGATTACAATTCACTTGAAGTAGGCGAACTACGGGTATTTAATATGTATGTTTTTACTATTATTGCATTGTCAGCTACAAAATGCAACATATACGTTTTTGTCAATATTACATGCATACAGACAACAAAACATGGATAGACAACGGCGACTCTGCCAAGTTAATTCCTCTATATAGAAATGTGAAATACCATAAATAAGACATATGACAAAATTAATAAAAAACTTTTTGTTATCGATTTAATGTCAAGATGTTGTCAATTTACACTTTGCACTGACGTTTTTCTAAATTAACCGGTAAATAAGTTTATTTATTTCAAACCTTACAGTTTAAATTTATAAACAAGTATCGTTCGTATAACACCTTGGCAAAAGGCCAGATCAAACTTTTAAGTTTGTAAATTTTTCAAGGCCCAAGGTAACATAGGAAAATGTTTAACATCAGCTGCTAATATTTATTATTCACGTAGTTCGTAAGTATTCGTAATCACATATGTTGTAAGTATGTATTTAAAAACAAACCCTCACTTAAGTATTTCGTAAATTCAATTTTGCAGTGTTCAAATATTATTCATACGACATAAAATCGATGAAATTTATTATAGTGTGTCTTTACTGATTACTTTGATAACTCACGCCTATGAATTACCGAATTAATTTTGTATAAAGGTAAATATCGTACTTAAAACAACGAAAATTATAAATGAGTTATTTATAAATAGTTTTCTCAGCACATGAATAATATAACAAAACCGGAACAACAGACGTACTGAAGGTCTTAAGTGCAATGGAAGCAGAATCCAAGTCACATAGTTTTTAAATGCCTTTGGTTCTAGACCTATCTTCGAGACTAGGTTCGAAAAGGCAGGTTAATAAAAGTTGTGCTTAAAACTTTATTTCTTTTCAGAAAATCTTCAACGGCAAAATAGCTCTATCCACATAATGTTTGATACGTTTGGAAGATATCAATTCAGGATATTCTGTTTATGCATATTATGCAAATTTTTTACAGCCTTTAATCAAATGGGTGTTATTTTTTATGCACCAAGAGTTTCGTACATATGTGCAGATACTAATGCAGAAACATGTCCATGTTCTAAACCTATTTATGATACGTCAGTATTTACCAACACTATAACAATGGAGTGGAATTTAATATGTAAAAAAAAATGGTTGGCAAATTTGACCCAAACATTGTTCCAAGTGGGCGTTCTATTTGGTAGTGTATTCTTTGGAATGGCTGCAGATAGGTATAATATTTTTTATTTTATTTGTAAAAATCTCTTAAAGTGTATTGCGTGATATGAGAGCAAATCCACGGATGAATTTAATATTCACGACAACACGACTAACAAATACAAGTGGAGTTTTCCACGCATCTCCTACAGACGAATGTCAGTGCATATAACAGTCTACCTATATCTCCTCCTACCTACCTGCCTCCTATCTCCTATCTACCTGCATGAAAGTTGCAATCTGTATTTCTTTTATTATTTTTCAGATATGGGAGAAGAAATCCTTGTATTGTTGCCGTTATAATACAACTGACTATGAGCATGGCATCAGCTTACGCAACAAATTACGTGTTTTTTTGCATAACACGTATTTTCATCGGTTCAGCTGTTGGTGGAACCATGGTGACCACTTTCGTGATACTCATGGAATTCATCGGAAACAAAAATCGGGATGTCATATCAGCCCTATACCATGTGCCATTTAATATAGGTCATATGATGCTGCCCCTTATCGCATATTATTATAGGGACTACAAAAAATTTCTTCTAGTAGTTTCTATACCCAGCGCTATTCCACTCTGTTACTTTTGCTTTTTACCAGAATCTGCAAGATGGCTTATAGCTGTCAATAGAACAGACGAAGCTATAGCCATCTTAAAAAAGGAGGCTAAGATGTAAGTGTAATTTTTTATTAAACCAGATTTTCGATATTACTACTTAGGAGAAATTATTTATTTTACCTGTAAGAAAAGCAATATTAGAACTCAAAAAAATGTTTTGTACTGTCTTACATAGCGTTCTGGTTACAGATAGAGATATATTTTTTTCTTCATATGATTGACTACTATTTTACTCTCATGTTAGTTGGCATATAGCGGCATCTATTATGTCATTTGCAAATTAAGAAAAAATGTTTATTGTTGATTTTTTTTTGTATTTCAGAAGCAAACGACAGGTGGATATTCATAAGGAAGTAGTGACCTATGCAAAGACACTAACAGGGCCTAACGCGCAAAAAGGAAATCTAGCAGATTTGTTCCGAACGCCGAATCTTCGCAGAAATATTATTTGTATGTCGTTTAATTGGATGACTTGCAGTTATTGTTTTTACGGAGTCACCCAGTACGTTGGACATTTGAGTGGTAATATATTTATCAATGTGGCGGCCAGTGGAGGTGTGGCGCTTTTCGGCGCTTTCACTTCGATACCATTGATGAGGGCATGTGCCAGGAAGACTGTCGTTGTATTATTTCATTTTTTATGTGCCGCGTGTTTATTTGCACTAATGTTTGTACCTGAAGGTAATTTATCTGTTATCTTGGCGTGCACAGGTGTCGTATCCAGCTTTATTGTGTTCGTTGTTGTTTATTTATATTGTTCGGAACTATTTCCTACGGTTGTTCGAAATGCAGCTGTTGGATTTTCATCAATGATGGCACGTGTTGGGTCAATGGTGGCTCCTTTCGTAATAAACGGTGCAGACATCGCGCACTGGCTGCCGCCTCTTGCTTTTGCTATTCTACCGCTCGTAGCGTGCTGGGTGACGTTTCTTTTACCAGAAACAAAAGACTGCGAATTATTGACGACTCTAGAAGAAGGTGAAAATTTCGGCAAAAATATCGCTAATAAACCAAAGAAATAATAGTTTTATATTCACCAATATTTGTGTACGATTAAATACATTCAAACATATGTTATAATACTTGATGAAAAAATACACTTTTTGAGGTGTGAAATTGTATTTAATATTATAATATTTAATTTTTATACGTATTTTGTTATAATTATATCACAAACTATAAGTATAACAGAAAATTGTGAGTCGATATTGTTGAGTTTGGAAGTAATAAAATGTTCGTTAAAAGTTGTTTTAATTCTTAGTACTTACACCATAATTGGTACATAAAAGCTTGGGGACTTGTGAGTATTGAGTTTATATAGAGTGCGAGTAAATTGTTATTGGTTTTAGTTAAATTCACCAGCTATGAATTTGGTAATATTTCGCCTAATATCAACTTTCGAAGACTCAATCAATAAGTTACGATATTATCACTCTCTAATCTAAATGGCGATTAGTTAAATAGTGTTCAATATACTTATTACTATAGTACGATTTATAAAGTGAATTCTAAATATAAAATGCACTGAAAACTTCGATTGCTAATCTGTAATTGTCGCACTTTTTTGAGGCCATCTAGTTTTTAGTATTCCTTTATATGATGTCATAAGCAGACTTTTTTGTAATGAAACTTCTAATAACATGGTGCTGATAAACAATTTAATTGGTAACTTCGGGAAGTATCATCTATGGCTAACTTTCATTATTCTCGTTAATAAATTTGGTGTTGGTTTGCATCAAATGGCTATTATATTTCTGGCTCCTCCGACCCAGTTCACGTGTCCGGATGAAAGTGAATGCTGCGATAATCCAATTTATAATACAACTTTATTTAAAAGAACAATTATAACAGAGTGGCATTTAATTTGCAAAGATTCTTGGCTTAAAGACTTCACGCAGACAGTTTTCCAATTTGGTGTTCTCATTGGCAGTTTGATATTCGGTGCAGCTTCCGATAGGCAAGTTCACTCAAGTCTATTTTCGCTGTCATTCTTAAAATCTTTTAAAATTTAAGCAAATTGTTGAAAGATTTTTATCAAAAATGTATTGTCTGATTACATTATTTAATTAAGCTGTTAAATTATTGCTAAGCGTCATACGACAGATTTTCCGACAGTAAAATTTACGATGATCGATTTATCGAATCACAGGAGGAGAATGTAGAGTCAGATAACGTCAGCTAACCCACTTGCATTTTTACGAATTGATTCCTTAAAATGTATTGTTTTTCAGATATGGCAGAAGAAAAACTTTAATTTTTGCAGTAGTTATGGAATCGCTGACTGGTATTGTTGCTTCTTTTCTTCCCGATTTTTGGAGTTTCACAATAATCAGAATGTTTTTGGGAATATCTGTTGGAGGAATAATGGTGATCGGATTTGTCCTACTCATGGAATACGTTGGTGTTATGTATAGAGATGCGTTGTCGGCGTTATTTCATGTCCCATTCACTATGGGTCATATCGCACTGGCTCTATTTGGATATTACATCAGAGATTACACGCATCTACAATTAGCGATATCTGTAGTAAACATGATTCTTCTTTTCTATATTTGCATTTTACCAGAATCGCCTCGATGGCTCTTAGCTATTAATAAATCATCAAAAGCGATTGCTTTAATGGAACGGGTCGCAAAATTGTGAGTTGAATACGTTTTATCACTGAATTATATAATTTATTTACGAATATCAACTATGAACCAAGCTATTATTTATTCCAGCAATAATCTACCTACAGATGAAATCCCAACAATGACAGAGTTATATCAAATGGAACATAAATCTGCAAGGATGAAGCGCGGTTCAATATTGGACTTATTCAGAACTCCTAACATGCGAAGAAATATTTTGATAATGGCATTTTTATGGCTCGTCTGCAGCTACTGTTTCTACGGCGTTGCCCACTACATCAGTCATCTCACTGGAGATATTTACACGAACGTAATTGCTAGCGGCAGCGTCGCGCTCTGCTCGTGTTTCGTATCTATTCCACTTATTAGGTTTTTGAAAAGGAAAACTTTGGTCATCGCTTCGGAGTTAGCTAGCAGTATATGCTTGATATTAATTGCATTCGTCCCAGAGGGTACAATTTCAATCGTGCTAGGCTGTACCGGCGTATTCTTTACGTTCATGGTATTTATCGTCGTGTATCTATACTGTTCCGAAATGTTTCCTACGGTAGTGCGTAATGCTGCAATTGGTATATGTTCGATGATGGCTCGCGTAGGTTCAATGATTGCACCGTTCGTCGCTGGATTGAGACCCTTTGGAATTTGGTGTGCTCCGGTAGCCTTTGGAATCTTTCCTCTCATCTCCGCTGTATTGTGTTTATTGCTCCCAGAAACAAAGAACTGCGAGTTACCAATGACAATAGAAGAGGGCGAAGCTCTTGGTCGTAATCAAAATCAAAATATAACCGTTGCAGAAGAATTGACATGATTTTTATTAGTCTATTATTTTATTTAGAAATATAACTTTTTTATTTATTGTAGAAAGTGGTTTTCTTGACATAATTAAAAGATTTATTTTAAGTAAACTTTCATTGATTTCGTTGAAAGCGATAATTGTTTTATTATTCTGAAATGGAAAACGTGTAGCGCTGCGTCAGAAATCATTTAAAAGAAAATTCACGATGACAAAAGAATTAAACTTTAGTATAGGAATAAGCATAAGATTATTAAAGGTTTACTGGGTCATGTAGGGTTTCTAATCCATTGCCGCGTTTGTGGCTTCCCGAAGTCCTAAGTCAGTTTTAAAGTGGTCATGGCGTTAGGCGTGGCGATATGTGGTGCTTGGTATTATACAATTCTTTCTGGTAAGTTACTTAATTAATATTCCTAAAATAGCAATTTATTATTGATATTGAACTCAGTACCTTAAACATTTTTTATTCAACAAACAAAACCTTTTACATGTTCATTGTGGAAAATGGTTCTGCATGCAAGTTAAATTCAGATTTTTTAATTGCAGGGTTTTACGTCCTTTATTGTCCTGTTATGTACTTAATGTTTCTTAATCATAGCCTGTACAGAAAAGTTGTCGATGTTTTGTTTTCACTATGGGAACTCTACCCCGTGGTAAGTTGTTAAAGGAGTAAGAGTCTATGAATTTTCTTACAATTATAGTCGTAGTAATAGAAAATATTAACTTTAAAAATAGTACATCTAAATTATACAAAAATATTCAAATCACACTGAAAAAGTATTGACCCTTTCAGGCTCTATTTCAATGGTGTTACCATACTCGTATACGTTGCTTTGGCGATTACGTAAATCCAAATGAAAATACAATAATAATTATGAATCATCGAACTCGTGTGGATTGGAACTACACTTGGCTCGCTTTATATCATGCCAGTAAGCCTGTTGCCGACCAAAGAATTGAGAATATTGAAAATAAAGACACTAACGCCATATTTGATATTATTTGTGGTGGTAAATCAAGAACAAAATTTGTTCTAAAGGATGAAATAAAAATTGTCCCTGGTATGGGTAAGTTAAAGCCTCTATTCGATTGGTGACATTATTCTAATTACAATTTTATGTATGTTTATGGTTAATTAATATAAATTACGATTATATTCTCGTTTATTGTTACACATAATTTGTGTTGTTAGATTGTGCGCTTGTAATTAATTTGATTCCGAGCAAATTAACAGGTATGTTGATCGAACAGACTGTCATGTTTTTGAGAATCAGAACGTAAATTAGTATTATAAAATAAATATTATTTTCCAAAAAAGGATTAGAAGAATTTTATATCTATATCTAAGAGCAATTACTATAACATTTTTTTAGGTTGGATAATGCAATTAAATTATTTCCTGTATGTAAGACGCAACTGGCAAGAGGATCAAGTGAATTTATCACAATTCGTTGATTATTACAATAAACTTGAATGTAGGAACCGCATCGTACTGTTCCCGGAGGGCACTGACCTTAGCGAAGATAATAAACGCCGCAGCAGAAAATTTGCCGAAGCTAATAATTTACAGGTAAAACATTTTACTATACATAACTTTAAATACGTGTTGGTAAGTTTTCTGACTTCAGTTTTGCAAAATTATTTGTAGAACCATCTAACAAAAACACCCAGTTCTACTATTTAAACATCCTTGTATCTTTGGTTATTTTGAATTAGTACAATGACTTTATTAAAGTTAGGTAATATAATAGTCTCGAGGTATTTACTTATTTAAAGAAGCTACTGATACTTGTTAACAATTAGAGTTTTATATATCGTTTAGTAGAATTTTCGTTCTACATATACATACCTACACTAAGAGTATCAGTAACCACTTAACGAATCTGGGTACGACAGGTAATAATATTTACCTGTATCTTTCAGTGTTACGAGTATGTCCTACATCCACGCACTAAGGGGTGGGTAGCCCTCTGTTCCCGACTGCGCAGCTCCGGTCTCAACTCCGTATATGACGTCACTGTAGCCTACGATAACCCGGTCAATGAACTTGATCTATTACGTGGAAAATTACCTCTGGAAGTTTTCTTCCATTTCAAACGGTAATCAAATTATATTTACAATAATACTGTAAGATAGGGGTTAGGTAATAAGCCACGAATACCGATATCACATATTTTGGTGTTAATTCGAAATATGCCTGCAATTTCATGTCCGCGAATTGTGAATCATCGGTTAACAGGATTGCAAATACAGAGGTTTGACAGTATACATTATTTATAGGTATTCCATAGAAGAAATCCCTATAAATGAAGAAGATATCAAGATTTGGTTAAATGAACGATGGCAGGATAAAGAAAACAGTCTTAGAAAATTTCATTCGAATGGTAATACCAAAGTTCCTTTCTAAGCTAGACATGAGGTGAAACTATGATCATGCGCTAGGTTTCTTTATATTATAGTTATAGAGAATCATCAAATTATATGATTCTGAGTATGGTCGCTAAAACAGAACCTCGATTCCCTTCATCTCACTTTACCTAAAGTTAACTTTTAAACTATTTCTGCATTGTCATTGTTGTTTTATCATTACTTTTTTTTTGTAAAGCTATATATTTATATATAGGAGGTTTTCTTCTTTATCACTTTACATAATCTAATGTAATACGATACGATAAGATATAAAGAATTGAATGGACAGCTAAGCCCATTCGTACACAATGCAACGAAAATCTTCGAAACTTATATTGTATCCTTGCGTCTCGAGTATCGTGTCGCGCGTTCCTTACACACAACGTTAAATAGACGACGCGAGTCGTCTGTTCCACGTCGTCTTCGTTGTGTACGAAGGGCCTTAGAGATAATTTACAGAACACGTGAATTGGGTTGCGCAGATAAAATGTCAAGACAAGATATAGTTGACTGACAGTATACAGCATACTATAAGATAAAGAGATATAAACTCCTACAGAAATCTAAATGGACCCACCATGGAGTGTTAAGCCTTAAATCCATACCACCGAATCAACTTACTATAATCAACATATGTATTATACATAAATTAATATTCATTCATAAAGTCATATAGATATTGCTATAAAATCATACGTATGTACTTTGTAATATTAGTAATTATTATGTAATCAAAACTATATTTTATTTCATGAATTCACATGAAAATTACGTGTTAATCGTGGAGTGGGGAAATTTTGGTCCCTTACATCTTTAGTTACTTAACCATATGTAGGTAAAGTTTCTGACCAGGAAAATAGAAAACTTGCCGTGGGGCAGCCCCAATTGCCATCTTTAGTACATTACGTACGCAACAAAATTAGTAGCATATTTTTCTGCTATTGCAGAATTGGTGAGGAGTTTTATATTCCCAGTCACGCTATAAAAATGTTGTATTTGTTTTGTCTAAGAATATTTCTCTTTGTTAATTAGGTGTATTTATAGACGCCATAACGGGCCACACGCCTATGGAATACGGAGCAAGTTCTCTGAGAAAAGCCAAATTGTGTTTTGTTTTTTGGACATTTATTGATATTTTTTTCTTGTATTATATTTTGAGCAGTGTTTTATTTCAGTTTTGGGTCGTGTATCATAGCATTCTTTTCATATTTGTCACCTGGTATTTTGGTGGCTTTCAAAATGTTCAGTATAAAATTTTAGAAAAAAAAAGTTTATAACTCAAGTAGTTTGATTTTTGCAGTTGAGCACCTAAGTATTGTTAAGATTTACTCAATTTAGCTGTGAATTCTCCTTTATTGCCAAACATTGTAAAAATTTTAGTTTTTAATATAAATAAAAAACATGGCACGTTTAATTTGTTTTAATTATTTTTCTCGATGCCTTCACAAACATTGCTCCTACCATAAATGTATATACAATTTTTTTTTTTGTGAAAGGTCAACCTGAATCACAGCCAAATATCAAATAATAATGAATATGACCAATAATTGGATCACACAATTAATTCTGTACGCGCTACGTAATTTTACAAAAAGTTTAGGTTAATATAATATGTATTTTTATAGATGATTCAGGATTGCAGGTTCGTATTAAAAAGTATCTTTAAAAATATTATTTTTATTAAAATTATGTTATTGTTATAAAAATATCACGATTTACCTATAACATTGATTTCGTATAAAACTTATGCATGGTAATTATTAGTGTTATATATTATATTTGCAGCAACTACATTTATCTGTTTAGTTTTTAAGTAAAAGATGAGAAGTTATAATATAAAAAAGAATACAGTACCAACCATTTTAGTAACTAAACAAAAACGTGTACGCAGAACCTTTTCGTAATGTAAAAGATACCTATTTATCATCAGTTAACTTTTCAGCTTGTTCAATTGTGTTTAATAATACTTTATCCTTTGTGTCAGGGAGGAAAAAGCAAAAGAATGCTGCAATTAACGTAACACCACTAAATATTGCCACAGATATCCACTCTATACCAATATTCACCACAAAAGGGGCAACAAAACCACCAAATCTTGAAAACATTGATGCAAATCCTAAAGCGGAATTTCTTACAACTGTTGGAAATACTTCTGAAGTAAACAAATACATTTGACCAAATGCCATATTCGAACCAATATGACCTAGAATAGCAAAGGCTAGAGATAAATATTCTAAATCACTGGGAATGTATATAAATATAATCAAGGCAATAGCCGATATTGAGAAACTGCCAATAACACCAATTTTTCTCTTAATATATAATGATACAAGAACATTGAAAAATAATGGAGGAATATGAAAAACTCCAAAAAGAAATATGTTAAGATAAAAATTTCCCTGTAGTCTTCCGATATATTGATTGATCCCATAAAATGTGTTCCCGCAGCAAAACCAAACGCAGGCAATTATTAATGAGTACATTTTCATTTTCGGTGTTGAAAACAAATCTAAATAAGATCCGTATTTTGGTTCTTCTTTATTCGTTTTATGCTCTTCAGCTGCATAAATAATTGAGGCAATATTTTCAGTCGGTCTTTTGTTCCTGAAAGTCAAATCAAATTTAATTTAGTATTTATTATGATTCACTGTATCACTATTAATTAAAATATTTACCATTTCGCAATCTTTGTTAGAACATCTATAGCTTCTTTTTTCTTTCCTACGGTTATTAGCCATCGTGGTGATTCCAACATTAGCCAGTTATATGATATCACGAATACGCAGGGCAGTGACGTCACTAACTGTAGATACCTCCACTCCCTTACGTAATAAGCTATGATCGGATGTACTATAGAAACTGTAGCATATGCTATTTGCGTCAATCCTGGCAGATATGGTCGAAACGATTTACCACTCAATTCCACCATAAGAGTATAACTGCATATCAAAGTGCCACCGACCGATGTACCGATCAGAAAACGAAGGACGAGGAACATCCAAAAGTTTGGCACTAACGCCGACGCTACTACAAAGACGACATCGGTGGTAAGAGCCATTAAAATTGAGGTTTTGCGCCCATATCTAAAAAAAAGTTAAAATATCTTCACAGAAGTCATTATTTCTTAAATTTAAGTATGTTAATGTGTTTTTAAAAACCAAATGGGATAATATATCAAAATTACAAGATAAATACATTTGTTCATTCGAATATGTGGCTAAAAGGTTCAATGTCTCTTCTAAATTAATTTATATATATTTTAAAATTTACTAGAAATACAGCAATAATTTTGTCCCATGTAACAACTGATAAATGACAAGTTTATTTATACCATTGCACATACCGGTCTGAAAGATATCCATACAGCAAACTTCCTGTGAGGATTCCTATCTGCAGCACGGATTGCGCTAAGCTGGCGAGATGAGAACTGCCGCAGATGAGGTTCCAAGTTGTTACAACTGATTCAACTATAGTACTTGTCTCATACTCAGGATTCTTACAGGGACAGTAATTAGTCATATTAGGAGATCCTTCATCAAGACACACATAATCCACTTTTGGTAAAATGTAAACTACATTTGTCAATTGAAAATCAGCGGGGACTCGCCCGATTGCAATTAAAAATAACACCCATGTTTGATAAAACCCGAAACGACCAATAATATTTTCAATTGCATCTTCAGTAGTCATGACATAAAATTTAGCTTTATTATTTCGCTTCACTACTTTCCTACGTTAAATTTCAAAACATATACAGGTTTAAAACTAAAGCTCCACGCTTTATTTACTTCGATAATATTTTATCTTTTATTTTTGAGATAAAAAAAATCTAGATATACTTGTACATAATCATAATTCATACATAAAACGATTGTACGAGTAACTAAAAAATATTAGTCAGCAGCATTTTTGTCCGTGTAACAAGTCCCTGTATCCACTGCCAGCCACAATTAAGCTTGCTTTTAAGAAAGCTTTACAACTTTTAAGTTTGAAAGTTACGATTACATTTATCATATGATTTACACATTTCTGTCTATGTATGTTCAACGTTTTGTTTTCAAATTCCAAATTCAAACATTCCTCTATTAATTATTATGTGTAGTAATGATATATAATATCATTTGATTTTATAAATTCTGCTTTAAACATTTATGAATGGATATAGAATTGTTTCAAACTCTATAGATATTAAATTAGTTCTTGATATGATAGACAGAAGTTAAGAGTTTTGACACAGAGCCGTCTTGTCTTGTTATATTATCGATCTATCAAAAGGTCGTGTAGGCGAATGTTACGATAACTTGATATGATAAGTTATTCGTTGTCATCTATCTATGTATGTAAATATACTATATAACATTTTAAGATGATACAGTAAGTTTTTACTATTTTTATATTTAATATAATGCGTTCCAACAGATTTTTTTTACATAACATTTTAAATAACGAATAGTTTTTCATTCATATATTCTTATTAATAATAAATCACAATAATTTTACAACAAATTTATTAATTCACATATATGTACAAAAGACTTGCTTACATTAAAATAAAAAAAATAAAATAGCTTTATTTTCCCCTGTGAAAAGGGACTGGTGTCTAAAATAAGGTGATGAATGATCAGGCTTCCACCCCACGGACCATAAAATATATAATAAGCAAATATTGCATTTTAAATATAAGCATGATTTAATGAATGAAACGAAAAGAAAAAAATGTATTAAGATTTAATTTTTCTCTCTGACTGTTCAGTTTGTTGAATTGTATTCAATAGTACTGTGTCTTTAGTGTCTGGTAATAAGAAGCATAAAAATCCTGCAACTAAAGCCACGGTACTAAAAATTGTAATAGAAGCCCACTCTATACCAATGTTGACTACAAATGGTGCAGCAAAACCTCCGACTCTTGCACTCATTGAAGCGAATCCCATAGCAGAATTTCTGACAACAGTTGGAAATACTTCTGATGTATACAAATATATTTGAATAAACGCCATATAAGCTCCCATTTGACCGAAAACAGCAAACACTAGAGACATTGTATAAGCGTTGCTTGGAATAAATATAAAAACAGTTAAAGATACTGCTGCTATTAGAAAACTTGCTATAACGCCAATCTTTCTTTGAAGAAATAAACACGAAAGTATGTTAAGAACTACTCCAGGTAAAAGAAACAATCCTGATAGCATTACATTGAAATAGAAATTGCCTTGTAGTCTACCGATGTATTGGTTAATACCGAAAAATGTATGACCACAACAAAACCAAACCAGAGCCATTACAATTGTATAAATTCTTAATCTTGTCGTTTTAAATAAATCCAAATACGAGCTGTGATTTTGTTTATTATGATTCAAGGAATGTTCTTGGATCTTATCTATTATTGCTCCAATATTTTCAGTAGGTCTATTATTCCTGAAATTGAAATAAAATAAAATAATTTCGTATTTTTAAGACAGTTCTTATTTGAGTTTAATTACTATGATTCTAAAAATTATAAAGATAACACAAAAATATTGATATTTTGCAATGGATTATTGGTATACTTTTTAGGGTGCCTTATCTCGAAAGGAAAAAACGAAACCTTTATAGGATCACTTTGTTGTCCGTCCGTCTGTCTGCCAAAACCGTTTTTTACGGAAATTTGAAATTAATAAACGAATTTACGAAGTCTTTTCATCAATTAACAAAAATAGTAGCCAATTTAGCTTATTACCATTTAGCAATCTTTGTCAACACATTTATAGCCTCTTGTTTCTTTCCCATAGTGAGCAGCCAGCGAGGGGATTCTGGTAATAGCCAATAATATATTATAACAAACACCCAGGGCACTGACGTCACCATTTGTAGATATCGCCACTCTCGAACATAATAAGCTAGCATTGGCTGAATTATTGACGCCGTAACGTATGCCATTTCCGTAAGCCCCGTCAGATACGGTCTGAACGATGTACCGCTCAATTCTACCATAAGAATGTAAGAGCAAAGCATTGTCCCACCAACTGCGGTGCCGATTAAAAAGCGACAAACGAGGAACATCCAAAGGTCTGGAACTACTCCGGACATTATTATGAATATAACGTTGCTAATAAGTGCGGTTAGGGTTGTTATTTTACGGCCATATCTGAAATGTAGAGAGAAATCTTTTTAATGGACGAAGTTCTAGGTGTAGGTATGTTTTGTTATTCCTTGTGTATGATATTAAACAACGCCATACCCTTTGAGTTGTTGTTTTACGCCTATTTTGTGCATATATGGCAGTCGCAGCCTATAAGGTATAAATGCCGCAGGGTATAAATGCATCCTTCTAAAATATGTTAGTTGGACATGTGTAAAAAGACTAAATAGTGAGGTGGTATTTAACAATACAACAACTTCTATTCCATGCATGGACTGGCTCGAAGCTAAAACTACAACATCAGAAGATATAAGTATTCTGATTCATGCCTATCTTAAAGTCAAAGTACAAGTTGCGGCGCCTGAAAAGTGTGAGATTCCGAAGGCCTAATTTCTGCCGTCTTTCCTTTCCTATTAAGAATTCGACACGGCGGAAGTCGGTGTATAGGAAAAGGAAAGACCCGCTTTCAGTACGTCCTGTCTAATTAGGGTAGGAAACGTATCGACAATTTGTTTGAGATGTCTATAGGCATCGGTCGAATTACTTTTTTAACTGAACTGAACCAACTGAAACCAGTTGCTCGTTTGATACCTTTTACTAGAAAAAAAAATACTTAACTCTATAAACTTGAAGAAAATCGATAAAAGCAATTCTCTTTATCTCAGTAGGTGAATGTTGATATACTTATTTATATGTACTCGTATTAATATAGAGTACCTTGGGCTCTCACAATTTTAATGCAATTGCAGGCAGAAGGCCGCCAAGTGTGTCAATGTCAGCGACTATCGCAAAGGAGAGTTTAGGCTTTGCTATTGATGCGCTTTACATCAGTTACAAATAAAACATTTACGAACAAATTTAACATTAAACGACCTTATTTCTACACAAATAGTTACAAAATTTACATGTAAGGGAAGACTTTTGCTCCTTAAATACAGGTCTTCCTAGTTAAGGAGCCAAGGCAACATTAAATTTTGAACTTTGTGTAAAACAATAAAAAAAATCATTATTGTTTTTCATATTATGGTTCTTTGAATGCCACGTATTTTTCAAGTTCAAATAGTGGCTTAAGCAAATGCGAAACGTGTACTAAATTAGGCTTTCGACGCGAACACTCAGACACAAGAATTTGTTTCGACAGCACTCCTGTTTTCACACAACAAATATTATTGTTGTAGGCTTTACCACTGTTTAAAACAATAATGGGATATATTATTATCTTGTTTATTTTATTTTTGAGCAAAAGTTTTACAAGCTGCTAATTTCAAAATGTAAAAAATGCATTTATAGGCTGTCTAAGTTATCTTTCCAGTGGGCAAAAGTCAGACTAAATTATGATAGGTCACTAGCGCACCCAAAAAAATTAACACGTGATCCTGTTTGTAATGTCTTGTCAATTTTTTTTACGCATAAATCATTTCTCACAGAACTAACAGCGTTTGCAGAGAGCCTCTTTCACTGGCACACATAATTTGCTGCATTATAAATATTGTTAATCAAAGGTTTTCTCTGAAAAATATGCTTTCGTCAATTTTTACAATGGTACTTTTGCTGATATATAAAGTAAGGCGCTTATTTATTGTATGGTTTGAATATTTTATTATTATTGTGCTATTATTTTTTTTTGAAAATCAAAATTATTGACCTGTCTGTAATTTACCCTACTATTCTACAAAAATGGCGAAATTTTTATATATTTTTTGACTTCTATTGTTTCATATTCTTTACGTCGACTACCAGTTACCTTTATTTTTTTTGCATAAAAACGCCTACAACTGGTGCTGTATGGTAATATGGTACTGAAAAAGAAAGTTTATTGATTTAATTAAAAGTAAAAAATCTCTTATTACCTGTCTGATAAATATCCGTAGATTAGACTTCCCGCTAGAATTCCAATCTGCAACGTAGATTGTGCAAAGCTAGCCAGTTGTGTTTTGTTACAAATTAAGTTCCATGTGGTAGTGACAGATTCTACAACATTGCTCGTATCGTATTTAGGATTTGTGCACGGACAATAGTTCGTTGTATTCAAGACTTGGTCATCTGTGCATTCGTACTCTACACTAGGCAAAATAAAAACTACATTTGTCAACTGAAAATCAGTAGGTAAACGGCCAATATATATTAAAAACATAACCCATGATTGAAATTTCCCAAACCGACCGATCACCTTTTCAAAGGCATCATCAGCGGACATTGTTATGATTCGAAAAAAAAAATTACTGGCCTGATTTTGAATTTATCTTTCTTTTACAATTCGTTGCACTCTATTCGCACTATGGTTTTACTGTTACTAAACGTATTAAATGTAGACACGCGACATAACAAATACTTTGATGATAATATTTTATCTAAACTGTAAGATTATTTAGAAGATATAAAGATTTAACAAATATTTAGGTTGAATGATAAATTTTGTACACGTTACATCTTCGTGCTTTCTTCCGGACCAATTTTGACCATTGCACTCGTACAGTTTTAAAAGATTAAAATAAAAAACTAATTTAAGTTTTTAGCACAAATTAAATCTGTTATTTTCTTAACAAAGAATAAATAAACTGTATTGCCTTTATGATTTCTGTTAAAAAGACGGACACTTGAACAAATACAGCTCGAATAAATAAAGTACCGAGGTTTAAATAATATTTCGTTTATCATAAGTAGGTATATTTGCACTTTACTCATAATACAATTCATAATATGAATTGCTGTCTGCTGTCTCGCACAGACTATTGTAACATTTTTCTTTTATCATTAAATTATTTTACCTTTTTTAATTATTGTTACGTCACGCATCCAACTGGATGCAGATGGGGGCAAACTTCGACGTTGTTATGAAACGAACTTTGTATATCATTCGCATTGCATTCATTTGGAAAATTCATTATGTACATACATGAAAGAAAAAAAATATTTCTTACAAATACTGAAATTCGATTTAAACTAAAATACTCAAAATTCATAATTGTATAAATGTAATGTACTTAAGTAGAATTACATGATAAAAGACAAAGTCAATTTATAATTTTGTAATCGAGTTATAGTTACATAAGACATTATTTGTCATTAGGTTTTTCTGTTTCTTGAATAGTATTTAACAATGCAATATTTTTAGTTTCAGGTAACAGTAGACACAAGAATCCCGCACAAAATGCCAATACACTAAATATTGTAATCGAAACCCATTCTATACCAATATTTACAACAAACGGAGCAATGAAACTACCGAACCTCGCAAACATGGAAGCAAATCCCATTGCAGAATTTCTGATAATAGTTGGAAAAATTTCTGATGAATATAAATATATTTGAACAAAAGATGTGTAAGCACCTAATTGACCGATTATAGCAAAAGTTAATGAAACTGCATTAGAATCTTCAGGAATGAAAATGAATACAAGTAAAGATATCGCTGCGGTTGAAAAACTAGTAATAACTGCTAACTTTCTCCGTAAATACAACGAAGCCAAAATCACAAGAAAAATTCCCGGGATAAGGCTTGCAGCTGAAAGTATTACGTTGAGATATAAATTTCCTTGGAGACGTCCAATGTATTGATTGATGCCAAAGAAGGTGTGCGCGCAACAGAACCATACGAAAGCGATTATAATCGAATAGATTCTTATTTTAGGTGTTTTAAACAAATCGATGTATGATCCATATTCTTGTTTACGCTCTTGTTGTGTTTCTTGTTCGATTTTATCAACGATGGATTTTATGTCGTCGGTAGGTCGATTATTTCTGTAAAAAATTAATTCACTGAATATAATAATAAAAACAAAAATAAATATTTTGTAAATTCTAAATGTTACCTTTTTGCAATAGTAGTGAGGATACGAATTGCTTCTTCTTTCTTTCCCATTGTTATCAACCACCTTGGCGATTCCGGTAGTAGCCAGAAGTTTAATAAAACAAAAACCCACGGTACTGAAGTTACTAATTGCAGATATCGCCATTCCCTTACATAGTATGCTATAATTGGATGAACTAAGTATCCTGTTAGGTAAGATATCTCAAACAATCCAGTTAGATATGCCCTAAACGATTTTCCGCTAAGTTCGATCACTAGAATGTAAGAACAGAGCATAGTGCCTCCGACTCCAGTACCAATAAGGAAGCGGCATACAAGGAACATCCATATTTCTGGGACTACGGCGGATATAATGACAAATATGACAGTCGTAGTAAATGCTAAACAGGTTGCGATTTTCCGACCGTACCTGAAAAATATATTTTTTAATTTTATATTATAATAATGAAGATAAACTAATAAGTCTGTACGTTGTCAATCTACGTACAAATCGAAGATTGACTTAAATGCTCTAGGATTTACTAATCAAACTAAAAGTAATAAAATTTTAGTGCGCATTTTTATGATAGACTTTCGCGAACATCGTATCGATATCTAAATGCGTACCTGTCTGAACTATAACCATATAATAGACTTCCAGCAAGAATTCCAACTTGCAGCATGGATTGAGCCAAGCTAGCGAGCTGAGTCCTTCCACATATAAGATCCCATGTGCTAGTCACTGAGTTGATAATCACGCTTGTATCATATTCCGGATTATCACAGGGACAATAGTTCGTTGCATTCGATGTTTCTTCATCCAAACACACATACTCAACACTAGGTAGAATAAACACAACGTTTGTTAACTGAAATTCCGTTGGATATCTAGATATGGTAACCAGAATTAAGATCCATGTTTGATATAAACCAAATCTTCCAATTGCATTTTCTATGTGATCAATGTCTGTCATTTTGTTCAATTTCTTAGTACACTTTACTACGTATTGTTTGACTTAAGCATGTTGTAACACGCAGTTAGTATTCGTTTCAATGCCAGAATAAGACTGAGTGGCATCTCAATGCTTGGCTAATTTTATTATTGTAATACACTGAAAGTCACCTATATCTGTAATATTTATAACACGGCTTAAGATTAAATATTACGACAAAGGAAATGAAACATTGTTATTAAAATGTATTTCAATGCAAAAACATTGTATTTTTTATACGAAGTTACTATTATACAGTCAACATTGTAAACACATTCAAAATATCGAGTCTTACAGAGTTAAATTTGAATTGGGTTTTTCGTTTTTTCATAATAATAAATACCGAAGTACTAAGAAGAGATAGGATAAAATATTCCGACGTTAGCATGACATAACAATATAGCATTTATCATGATCTTATTACCAACTATAAATTGTAAATGAAAACTACTATAATAGACAATCTATTAAAGTAGTTTGATTTAAAACCTAGACATTTAGTAAGATATGGTAGACATTTTCATAGCCATTTTTCTTCGTCAGTAAATATATAAAAGATAAATTCACATAAATACGTTTCTAACGTCCACAACTTATTTTGGTTACTATAATTTATAACAAATTACTAATAGTATAAAGATAAAACCTTGTTTAAAAAAAGAAAAACATCAATCAGAAAAATATTTATTATGGACAGATAAATTCTCAGGCGCCGCGTCGGCTGAAATATTGAATAAATGTCGTGAAATTGTTTTTGCATTGTATTATCAAATACGCTGAAGAATATTTGCTATACACTTATCATTGATAGCGGTGGAATTTTATAAAAAAAAATCAATAAAATCATTTACACTGGACATATTATTTTCATATTTATCTTAAAATATAAAGCAATCTTTAAATTACTTTTTTTACAAACTTACTTTAACTTATCACAGCCTATTTTAATAGACTTTTATACTAAAGAATACCTTACATTACCTTACATTTTTGTCATTTTTTTTATAAAATCGATAATATAATAGTTATATCACACTAAAATAAATTAGCCTCCTTCATTAATTAACAGAGATCTTTACGCTTCACCTTCATCTAAAGTATCTGGAAGTTTCTTTCCTCGAGTGTCAGGTAATACTAAACAGAGTCCTGCACCAATTAATGGTACAATACCAAACGCTAAAGGTGGAAGCCAAAAATATGTTAGTCTTAAAGTAGCAACGAATGGCGCTACCATAGAACCGATTCTTGCAACAGTCGATGCTAAACCTACGCCAGAATTCCGTACAACAGTGGGGAAGAGTTCTCCGGCGTACAAGTATACCGTGGCGAAGGAAATGCTCATGCCCCATAGACCGATGCAGCCGAGGCTCAAGTGACTGGCACCAGTGTCCGGAACCACCATGATGAGCAAGCAGCTCAGGCCGGTGACACAATTGGCACTGATTAAAGTCACTTTACGTCCGAGAACTCGGTTGGCGTATATCGAAATCAGTGTACCAGGAACCTGGAAATGAAAAACAAACCAATTTGAGTAATTACTAAATAAAGTATGGATAGTTAAATTGATTGTTACTCTTAATCAAGTGTTCTTTTTTAATACCTGTGCAACGCACTAAAGTTGATTGGCAATATTTTAATTCTAAATTTCTTATTTTGTATTCAGTTCTTTTATTTTATTTAAACAGATTTTAGTAGTCTTGTTAAATTCATGGAAGAAAACTAATTGGTATTCCAATGAAGAAATTGGTTTTAACACACAATATAGAATGTCTGCTTCAAAATGATTTGTATGCATTAGCAGTTTTTTGTACGAGTATTTGGATTATCTAATAAAGGTGTAATGTAGAAAATATAAAACTTGAAAGTTTTACGTGTACAATTTTTTTGTAATGGATACATTTGAAAGCAAGGGATGCAAGAAAAAAATGCTTCTATTAACGGAAAATAAGTATTTGTAAAAGGCATTATCACAAACGTTACAAGTAATCTAGGTGTTGTCGCTGTTGATATAAACCTATAATTTTACACATATGCAAGCCATTTTACATACTCGTAGAACCTGTCATATCTAACGAGTTTTGTTGATACCAGTTACAAAATATAACTCAGTTCATAAGAGTTTAATAGTTTATTCTACGTATATGTTAATTTTATACCTGAATGGCGGCCGAAACTGCGACATTGGAGAATATATCTCCAGACACATGTCCGATGTACTGCGACACTCCAAAGAAACAAAGCCCGCAAACGAACCAGTTAAAGCAAATAGCAATAGTGCGCGCACGCAACTTCGGAGTACGGAACAGAGCTAGGAATGATGCATGCTCTTCATCCGCATTGCTCAGTCCTGCGGCTATTTTCTGTGTTGTTGTTGCGATTTCATCAGTGGGTAAGCCGTTTCTGGAATATAAATATTAAACCTTTTAGACATGTGTTTCCAATATTAAAAAATTACGACTATTTAGCAATTTCAGGCGCTACACATATAAATATTACTAAAAATAATCACAAAAATAGTTTTGAAAGTGTGACATTGAAACAAATTGCAATTTTTTTTTGTTTTCTATATAGGTAATACAACATAATACTGACCTTTTAGCAGCAGTTTCCATTATAACTGCAGCTTCTTTAGCTTTGCCAGATGTTATCAACCATCTTGGTGATTCAGGTAACAAAAAGTAGTAGCTTAAAAATAAGACTGAAGGCAGTGATATGGCTAGTTGAAAAGTATTCCAGTCTCGTAAGAAATAGCCAAAAAGTGGCAATGTTAGATGTCCCAGATTGAAGGGTATCTGATATAATATTCCGACGGTCTCTCTGTACTTTGCACCGATAATTTCCATTATGAGAACAAAACTGCTGACCATCGTTCCTCCAGTGGCAACCGCGAGCAAAAAGCGAAGGATTGTGAACATGTACCAGTCAACAGAGAAGGCCGTGGTAACGCCTGTGACTAACTGCAGACAGACCGCCGCAACGAATGGCATGCGTCTGCCAAACCTGAAATAGCATAAACACTGAATTAAAATCTTATAAAGATCTAATTTATTTTTGTTTCTATGGCGGATACAAATTCCGTAATGATAAATAGTTATACGAAAATTCATACTAATAATTAATATTCAATATTATTAAAGCAAAAATAACAAAGTGTAAAGTTATCTGCAATTATAGGCAAAAATCTCAAGTTTAGATCCTTGAGGGTTTAATTATTGCAGTTAAAGTTATTTTCAGTTTATCTTTCATTACTTACAAATAAAAGTACAATTGGAAATACCTCGTATCTCCTTAGATCAAAGAGTATTAAGCTAAAGTAATGACATCCGGAGTCAGTGCAATTCGGTATTACGAAATGAATACAGGATGTGTCAATTTATTCGAAGTGATCGCGACTGCGTCTTGGCTCTCACAATTACGTGATGCATAAGGAATCGACGAAAGTAATTTGACTTTCAGAACTGTTTATTATGATACAGCAAAGGCAGACTACCTAATATATTATTCTCGATTTCTTGAGTCTGCAGTAAATTGTAAACTTCTTGTAAAACAAATTATCACCTAAACATGTTAATATCATACAGACGAAACAACTGACGACTGCTTGTGAATACGAATTATATATAATATGGTATTAAAAAACCTTGCTTCGGTTTGGGATTCGTATATATTCGAACATCGATAAGCGAGAGTTCAAAGAACCGCGAATTTTTTCTCGCTTATTAGGGTTTCTTTTTAACCTGAATTTATCGCTTATGGGAGTCGCCCGTTGGGACCTGACAATGACTCACGCATATCCAGGTTCAATCGAAATGTTAAAAGGAAGAATAAAACGTGGCAAGTTAAATTTATACTACATTAAATTTATCTATGCTCGTATTAGTAAAAAGAGTTCTTATTGTTCTAGGCTCTAGATACATAACAAGTGGAAAGGATGATACAGAAGTGCGTAATAAAAAGTAAAATTTGTATTTCATATAACATTTAAAAGAAACTTACCTGTCAGATAGGTGACCAAACACCATGTTGCCCACAAGAATTCCCAGCATGAAGATTGTCTGTGTTAAGCTCTTTAACCATTCTCTATTGCATACTAGATTCCATTGGGAAATTATCGTCTCGTGAAAAACACTACGATCGTATTGAAAGTCGGTACAATTCTTGTATTCAGCAAGGCAAACGCTTCCAAAGTCATTGTCAGAGCTCGCGCAAGTGAAATTCATAGGCGGTGCAAGAAATATGATGCTCATCTGATGCCAAGCTACTGGAAACTTTACAAGGAATATGACAAAACATATCCATATTTGCCATTTGCCGATTGCACCGATCGCTTTCGTTATCGGATCTTCAGTAATTTTCTGACTCTCAGCATCTTTGTTGTCGCGATCCAACACTGAAGTTAAAAATAAATTATGTGAAATATGTGTGACAAAATTAGATCATTTGATACACTTTGAGGAATTTGTGACGATAAATAATTGATATTGATAGTGGATGGCTGCAAAAGAAAAGGGAGAGCAAAGTAAGAACAGATGATTTGCGTGAAAGAGGAGATGCGTAAGAAGGGGGTGAATTCATGTGACGGCTGGTAGTGATGTATGGAGGAGTACTACTCCTGTGCCGACTATGCCGTCACTCCGTAGGGATAAAGGCAAGTTGAATATAAAATACCAATATATAAAGAACTTATAATAGCAAAGGGTACTCAACCGTTCTTAAAAAGTCACTGCAGACAATTTTACCCAATCAAATTCAAAAACAAATAGTAAGCCATTTGTAATGAGTAAATGGCATAATTGATAATATTGTTGTTGCAGGGAATTGTTTAAGGATTTAACATTTGCTAGTTATTATTTACGCATTACACAAGAATATTTACTATCAATACAATAATCGGGAAGTAGGAATGTAATCTAGCGATGTGTTAATTTTGAATGCTACGTGTAATTGTTTGATTAAACACATTGAAGCTTAGATCATCCTCATACATAATATGTATTTTGTATGTATATAAGTTATCCAAACAATGTAATAAATAACATTTAATATAATAATAATAATTATTATTATTGAATAATTAAATTGTTTGGATTTCTTACAAGCATTATTTAAAAAAAAATCACTAGTTTTCGCAAATCATTTTCGACGGGCGTTATAACTTTCTCAACAAATATTTGAACAACATTGAAAATCAATAAATTGATTCATCCTTATTCTAAGCACAGACAGTCGAGAAATACATAAAAAGAATTCAGATGTATGTTTAAGAATTTGTAATATAAAGGAAAATTTAATTTGGAGTGCATTTATGTTGTACTCTGTTTATACAGATGTATAATTTAGTTCTTTAATAAATGACTACAATAGCAAATTATATGGAATGCGCGGGTGTCTACCGTTTGACCGATCGGACTACCGATCAATCGGCCAAATGGGATTTTTCCCATTGGGTCAATCGAATTCACAGTATCAATTTAATTAAAGCAAAAGTAAAAAAAATTAAAAGCTATAAATTTAAAATAATCACATATATTCAGTTAATTTAAAAGAAGTGTAATAAAATTTTACTCTGTAAAAAAGTTAAAATGTAATACCGTAAAATTTTCACTAATAATTGTTAAATTTTGAGACACTCACCCATTAAATTCATATTGTCTAGTTTATTTTCATCTTCAGAAGTCATTTTGAATGTGATTTATATTAGCACATCGCCTTTGGAATTTTTCGAGCGAGTGAATAAATTTTTTATAACGGCGAATTTCGAACAACGTCTGCTAACGTGCTGTGTGTAAACGACGAATGGATAGTCTAAAAATGTTTCTAATGTCGCCTACGCAGCGACCAGCAGCATGGGGCCCTTGATTTAGCGTTATTGAATAATGTTTGACTCGTAAATTGGATAATGACTTTCACAGCGACGCTTTCGATTTTTGCAAGATGTATATGAACATTTTAAATTTTAATTAGAGCGATTACAAGAATTAATAATTTTTTCTGCTCCTATTGATAATCACCGAGTAATGTTGAAATACCTATTATAAAATGTAGGTTTATCAAATGTTTGTAACTCAATCTACTGAACTTTGTACTAACAATGTCAATTAATGTTTATGCTTCGTGATGTCTGCCGAATTACAGATAATTCAGTTCTATTGATGTGCTGTTTTTTAATCGAGCGTATAATATTTTAACCATATTATAAACTGACCTTTCACCCTGTGATAGGACACTGACGGGTCCGCAGACTGATTGTATGTTTCTTTATCAATACGAGACGAGCCAAGCCTCTCCTGACAAACTGATCCAACATAAATATTGTGAATCATTGCAAAACACAAGCTCTCAATTATCAACGTACGAAGCTACCTAATATCCATGTATTTTTTAATTAATTATGCACGCACATATTTCAAGTAGTTTAGGATTTGGTTCAAGGTGATTCCAAGAATAACCAATGATATTTCAAAAATGCGAAGATTAATCAAATATAAGCATTGTGATAATTGAATCATTATAAATAATAAAAAATATGATATTCACTATTGTTTCATTATTTCTTAACATAAGTTGAAGTTAAAAATAAAATTATTGTTACGTTAATTTTAAGACATAAATAAAACTCGCCCTTTATAGCAATAAAACTCAAAGCTAAAGTATGTATGTATGTATTGCTAACATTTAAATTACTTGTCATCGGGAATTATATTAAAAACATAGTCCGCCAAAAAAGCGTATGATAAACGTTATTTGAAAGCAAATACAATGTAGGTGTTATACTATTGTTCGTAAATTTCCAAACATGTAATCCTTATAAATATGAGCCACGTTTAAAATCGTACAATAATTACTAAAGAACTTATAGTCTTGGTGACACTAATTTTACACTAAGGTCAATTTCTGGTAATGTCTAACATCAGCGTCCGATAAAAGGATTGACATGTGACAAATGTAATTGTTACACTGCCTAGGTTTTTATGTTGTGGCCCTAAAAGTATCAGTAACTTACCTAATATATGTAGTATTGTTATGAAATGTTAGGAAAAATAATTGGCTAGAACCTGTTCGCTAATATAAAGGTTAATCTTTGTTTCAAGGTTGCCATTAGGTATTAGTAGTGCTTTTTGTAAAATGTAAAGCTTATACAAGACTAAATGTATTATAACAGTATTAGCAAAACATTAGTGTGGTCGTTTTCATATTAAGTTTCACTTTAATAAGCTAACCGGTTTCTTTTATTGATGTTATTATGGTATGAACCATTTTGTGAAATCTCTTGCAATTTCTATTTCTTATATAATTATAGACGCGGTTTGCGTTATAAGGATTATTTTAAATTATTAATAACACAAAATTAATAAAAGCTGTTTACTGTAGTGTTTTTAATAATTATTTTTAATTATTGTTTTTTATTAGGAATATAAACAATAAAGGTTTTTATGTGGTAAAATTACTTAATGTTAATGTACCACCAGGAAAACTTGTAAAAAAAATAATTTATTTATATAGAAATATTCATTAATATAAGCCAAGGTTAACATTTACATTACTTCTTAATATTATCATAAATGTGAAAGTTTTGATGTATGGATGGATGTTTGTTAGAAGGTATCTCCAGAACGGTTCAACGGATCTTGATGAAATTTGACATTTTGATGGAGAACATAGTTTGGTAGAAAACATAAGCTAGTTACTAAGATTATTTTAATACCACACGGACGGAGTCGCGGTCTACAGCTAGTTTAAAAATCAATAGATAAATATTATTGAGTGAAATATAGATAAAATACTTGATGTTAAAACAGTCGAAGTGACGAAATGTTTTGATTCCTTGCAACATCTATATTTTGTTTTTTTGTTTAACGATTGATTTATTTGATTATACTATTACGATGTTGATTATTTAAGACATAAATATGCAATTGCAGATTTAATTCTCATATTTTAACCTTTATAGCTGGATAACAGATATTTTTTAGTCTGTTTGAAGTGATCACCAGATGTAGTTGCACTTTTTTTTGTTTTAAGTTTTTATTGTTACGACAGAGAGAAAAATAGATTTTACACTCGAACAACTTCATTACTTCTTTTAATGTGGCAAATTTTGGAATACAAAAATATCATTTTGCTAACCAATAAGGGACTCCGCGTAGGTTGATTATTTTATGAGAAAACTTTACTAAGTATCTGATTAAATAATCATAAGCCATCTCTGAATATTGCTGGAAAATTTGGATAGTGTTTTATGCTATGTAGAATTAATTTTTTATTCTATAATACTATACATTATCCAATTTTATTTTATAATATATTTATACTATTTCAAGAGATCTAGTTAACACATTTTCTATGTACTTAAAAAGGTATGATGTATGAAAGTGGTTGGCATTCAAGGTTTTTACTTCGCAATTTGTTGATAAGGAACTGCGGAAATCACCTCGGTGCGCAGTAAACAGACGTTTCCTGACCTAAATGGTCCAACCCTGACTCTTGGAATCATCTCATATATATGTATCTATACGACAATTAACAATGATTAAAATACGTATTACAATTTGATTGTTTACTGTTCCGGGTAATGATGTTTTAATATTAATTAACAAGCTTATAATAAGATTATAACATGAAACATAAACAATATAATATAAATATAAAATTAGATTATTTGAATATTCTTGAATTATAATTATTTCCCTGTACGATTAATATGACGTAGATTTTTTTTAGATACAAGTAGCTATCGTCTGCGCGGGAATAAAAAACGGATAGTAACCGATTCTCAAACCTACTGAAAAAGCATATAAAATTAAAAAAAAAATCGGTCAAGCCGTTTCGAAGGAATATTGTTACGAACATTGTGGCACGAGAATTTTATAGAAAAGACTACAATATTGCTTTTAGTACAGCAGACGAATAACTAAAATAAATTATAGCATCATTAAAAGATCATCAACAAAAAAATGCTATTAAAAGTGGGTAATTTAATGTAAACAAAAAAGAAATTAATTACATGTTATAATTAAAATTATTATATGTATATTAATAAGCAGAAACATGACAATAGATTTATTTACTTACTTTTGCGTGATCCGTTATGAATTTGCCAAATTAATTCACACAATAATTAAAATCGGCGAGACACATGCGCCGCAGCTTATTTAGCTGCGCTCAAGCACGTTGTAACGTCACACAGAACAGAACACACTATATATTGGAGCTAAACTTCGACGTACATTCTCAGTGCAAGTCGCAACAAATGTATGAAAAATTAAACAAATCAACTCTAATTCTATTGACGCATAAGCCATGATGTTAGCTGCAGCCTGTTATGCGGTGCTACGTAAAGTAGAAAAATTCAAAATAACAACGTCATGTAATAATAACTTCAATGAAAATCGAAATAAAATATATAAAAGGTTTTTGGGCCATAAAAAATTTTGATTATTGACGTAGAATAAAAAAAAGTCGCTTCTTTTTTTGTTATTTTGTAAAGTTCAACCAGTTTGTAATACGCAATGTAATTTATTATTTTTTGTTGTATCAATGAAATAGAATTAAGCGATGATTCTTCTTGGCAACGTTGTTTTGGAAACCGTTTTTTTTTGGATTCTCTAAATTTGATACGTTTTTATCATTGTTGTTGTACCACGATAAAAAAAACTTTCAACAGATTATTAAAATACCTCAAATTATATTTAATATAGATAAGCATGAAAACAAAAAAAAATGCCAAAGAAATAAATGTAGTACATTTATTTTTAGAGAATAAAAGATTAGGGTCCTTTAAGAAGTGAAAGTAGTTGTTTTTTAGTGTTGCGGACGTCCATAGCCGTCGATGATGACAACCGTGTTCCCTCCGGTCGTTTAACCCCTGCTGTCGTAAAAAAACAATGCGTACCAAAATAGTATTAATTTTACTTGAGACATCAAATTATGTATGCCTCGACTTCAACATATACAAATTTTCACAGATTCCTAGAACGGAAACCACAGTCGGTGAAATAAAAAAAATACCTTTTAATGATTTTCTTTATACCTTTCTTTATATATCTAATTCTTCTGTGAGTGTGTATGTCACTGAACACTTCTCTCAAACGACTGGACCGATTTTGATGAAATTTTTTGTGTGTGTTCAAGGGGATCTGGGAATGGTTTAGATTCACAATTTTCATCAAATATTAACTTCATATTAATTTATTCAAATTAAAGACGTGTAGACAGGACAACGTCTGTCGGGTCCGTTAGTTATAATTATAATTCTTAAACAACGAGTTACTTTATGTGTTTTACTTTTTTAGGCGTAAAATATAATTAACAAATCGGAGTTTAGTGTGATAACTTAGGTCGTATGGGTATATGATGAAGTTATATTTGATTAGGATATATTTGGGTAGATACCTGTTTAGTTTTTAGTGAACGTATTATAAAATCTGGCACTAATATTGCGCTTAAATATTGCCAGGTAATTCCCCAAACGCGATGTAAAACAAGTTACCAACTTTAGATTCCAGTTACTAATTTAATCTCAGCATGTTTTAAAATTACTCAATATTTTAATGTTTAGTTTTAATCTAGCTCTTTGCTTATTTTTATTTTCTGATTTTACTAATTCAAATTAATTGAATTAAAGGACTAAATATATATCAGTAATTTAAATATAATGAAGTTTTTCTTTTATGCCGCGTAAGTGTGATACATTAGCTTGCTCTTTGCAGGGTAATGTTTTTCACGGATATTTATGTATGTTGGCGACAACATGCCTCAATTCTGTAAACAGACAAACGACAAATTCCATACTTGGCTGCCATTAAACTAATTACTCCATATTTTCATTGCATTTATTTGTTAAAGATTTTTTTTAATTTATTGATATTTAAAACCTATCAGTATTTTAGAAAATGAGATTGTACAAATCCGGTTATCTTGTATTTAGTAGTACGTCTATTATTTACTTCGCAGTTCATGTTTCATCATCAAGTAGTTAAATGACATACACATTACTAATAGTCCGTCTTCAAATCTTAACATGTATCATGTATGTATCTCTAAATATAATACAAGTGTTATGTTGTACATCGAAGGTTTAAGACTGTTCTGTAATTGTATATCCACGAACATCACATTTCACACATCGTGCAAAATTTCAAAACAATTTCTGTCT